TGCACACCAAAGGGCACTTTTCCTAAGATCTTTGCGGTACAGTGACACTCAGATCCATATTTCTACTGATCCCTCTCCCTTTTTAATACTGAACAATAAGGATCAATTGAGATCCAGCCAGTCTGAAGAGCTGGCTTTTAATCAGACTTGAACTAAGCTGAACTGGATGCATAAGCTAAAGCATCTCTCGTATCCATTTGCTGTAATGTGAGATGTGCTGAAAACCTGGGAGCTGCTGCCAAGACAGCACTGGGCACAGCCCTGCCTGTGGCATGGGAATGCTGGAGCAGTAGCCCAGAGCCCCTGAGACAGCTGCCATTTGTAGGCAGCACCTCAAACCCAGAGGATGTAGCCAGGTGAAGCGTCACCCTGGTGTACAGAAGCCTCCTGTGCAAAGATGTGTGCCTTACTCTTATTTAAGAACACTGAAGTGTGTTAGTAACACAGTGTACAGATTTCTAACCAACCTTAATCCACACTTGCTGACACTTTCTCTAATCAGGTAATTTCTGATAGCAAAGCAGGTTTAGTAGCAGCAGCAGCACTGATGAGAACCAAGGTGTTCAAGCTAGTGCATCAGCTGATTCAGTAGAAGAGCTCCAAGTAAAATAAAACTGGATTGTTGCAATTTGTCTGCAGTGCTGAATTTCAAGCACTTATTCCAGCAGAAACACAGTGCAGCAGACATGTCAGAGTTGGCTTAAACTCTGAGGATCTGCTTCCCAACCTGTTTATTAGCCAGGCAAATTCAGGTCTGGACAAGCTTCCCCTCTCCCCAAGTCCCCACTTTGGTTTTCATTATTCATTACACAGGTTCCAGGATTCCCTAGAGAAGCAGCCAAACCCCAGTGTGTGTTTAAGTTCTGCAAGGATGAAAGTCCAAATAAAAGTACTTTGTTTTTTTCCCATGCATCTTACTGTGGTGTTATTCCTGCTGGGGGTTTTACATAGATCTGGGCTGGAGGAAAACAGCCTCAGAAAATCACTGGGAAATTTGTGCTTTTAATTTGTCTTTGCTTTTCTCCAGAAGCATCCCCTTAACCAGAACTGCTGCAAGGGCTTGGTGTTGGAAGATTATTTCCAGCAATGGGAGAAAATTCCCCCCAGGAATGGGGCAGCGTTCTTAGTTATCTGCTCATGGTTTAGGCAAGGGGTAGAATAAAAAACATCTCTCCTTCCCTCTTCTTAACTTTGACCTGAAAACAATGCACATGAGGATTCACCCATGGTAATGATACTGGCTGCTGTCCTCCCTCCAGTAGCTGTAACACATTTATATGCATTAACTGTAATTACCCAAGATTCCTGTCACCCAAATTCAGGAAGTTATTTTCTCACCTTGCTGAGAAAGAGCTCAGACCACAGGCTGCTGTGAACACCTCTCTACCTAGGGCACCATAGGTACCTGTCACAAGGCTTCCCTATGCTGATATATTCATAGGCAAAAAAAACCTCTTAAAATGGGCAATTTATGGTTCAAAGAACCACAATTTCCACTAAAGAATTTCTGACTCTGCAAAACAAAGGGAGATTTTAAAATATGGATGAGTTTAACATTCCCCCTCTAAGAAACCAGCAAGTTGTACCAGACTGGACAAACGCAGAATTTACAGCACTCAAGTGGTCTCTCTACAAAATATTTATTGGTCACAGCCACAACATTGAATTCTCCACATAGGTAGTATTTTGTGACAAAGCATAATTTGACTTTATGTATTTACACTCACTGGCAGATACCACCGAGGAGTCCAACTCCCTAGAGCAGCTCACGACCACAGAGACCAGTTTGTGAAAGGCTCACCAGGTTCCTGCCCCTGACCCAAAACCAAGGTGAAGTCTCTTAAAGTGCTAAAACAGCCAAGAGGCATTGGAAAAAAATACCCTGCTGCTTCCAAATGTGTCACTCAACTGCTCCTGCACCCTCCAAAGCACAAAGGGACTGGGGCACAAATCCAGGACCTGCAAGCTTCAATAAAGGAATAAAAAAATCTTTCAAGACTGACTTGGAGAATTACTCCTGAAATCTCCTCCAGCCCAGGCAGATGTGCTCAGCCACCACACTGCTCACTTAGAGGTGGGCTCTTGAGTCTCATTTCCCCCTTGTTCTGAAGAAAGCTCCTTAATTCATCCCAAAGAACATGGGGAGGATTTACATGTCAGATTTGGAGGGGGAATGGTGTTTGCTGCTTGGCCACTCTGTCAGACCTGGGAAGGCTGTTTTTCATCAGATCTGTTTCTCATTAGCTGGCAGCCCTAAAGAACACAGGAATTGCAGCCCTGGGACTCCTAGAGAAGCATGTAAAAGCTGAAAGCTAAATGCTTATTCACCTTTCCTGTCCAACTGTCTGAAGCACACAATCCTCATGTTCCCTGACAACACTTGGCACATTCCCCTCTCTTAAAGCCAGATGGAAAGCACTCCGTGCTACATCAGCAGAGATGTCTCTGCCTCCGTGGGTGGCAGTGGGCCCTGGGAAGGTGCTCAGCTGCCACCCTGAATGGAGAACTACTGCATGAGCCTGAACATCCCTCTTCACTCCAGAAAGCCACTGATGTGCCTGTGTGTGCATCCTCCTAAACCACTCCTCTGGTTCCCTTTTCCTTCAACATTCCATGCCACAACACACCATGTTTTACAACACTGCAAGCAGAAGAGAGCTGAACAACAACCTCTAGACAAGCGCTCAAAACCACATTAACAAAGAGCTTTTACAGAATAAAAGACTTGCAAATGCTTCCCTGTCAAAAGTAACAAGGAATATGGCCAGAGGCTACCTGTTCACTTCCTCAGGCAAAAGACTTGGAAAACCTCAAAGATAATTTACTACTGGACGCTGAAGTTTGACTGTTAAAACACACTACAAACCCCAAATATTTGTATTTTACAAAGCACTGCAAATACCAACGAAGGTAAAATAGCACCAAACAGCCTGAAATGCAACACTGCTGAGTTCAAGTGACTGAGGCCCTAGAAAACCACCTCCCTTTGCACAGGCCAGTTTTATTTATAGGCGATGGTGGGACAGCACAGGAGAGGGGTGGCACAAACCTCTCATCTGCATCTCCAGCAGCAGGCCTGTGTGGCAGAGGGAAAGCATCCATCACCCTGCTGGAGGATGGCCAACTCACACGGCAGACCTGTGGTTAGAAATGCCCCGTGTGGCAGCAGCAGCAGAGCCACAACCACAGCAGATGGAGCAGCACGGTGTGAGCCTGCCCCGTGTGGGCACAGCTCCTGCACTGCCACAGCCAAGTGCTGCAACCTGAACCCACCCAGCAGCACAGAAATGCTCAGTGCCTGTCCCCAGCTCTTAGCACAGCACCTTTCCCTGGGCAAGGACTGGGAGGGGACAAACAGGCAAGAAACAGCAAAACAGAAGCAGCTGTTCTACAAGGCATTTACTTTCCCAGGGAGTCACGATGTGAACCGTATACAGCTGAGATGACTTTGCTGTAACAGGGGAACATCAGGAAACTGACCTAAGGAAAATGCTCCAGCATGGTTTGCCAGTATGGAGTGGCCCTGGAGAGCAGAGAGAACACGCTTGTTACTGCCTTGTCACCTTGCCAGCTTTTCATATTTATGAGCAGGGAAGCACATATGGCTGGGCAAGGGAAAGAACAGACTTCCCGAGCACAACCCCAAGTGTGTTTGGAAAGGCAAGAATACAGTGAACACTACATTTTTACCAAGCCTGTCCGAGCTTGCTGGTGAATGCATTCCATTGAAGCAGCATTTCAGGAAAAAAAACCTGGAACTGGGCTTGAAGACCAGCCAGCTTTTCAGTGCTACAAGCCCCTGAGGCAGGAGAGCATGTCCCTCCCCATCACTTTGCAGGGGCATTCCTTGGAGCAGGGCCACAGCAAAGCAGAGTCAGCACAGTCATGCCTAAGATTTTTAAAATTCACTTCTGAAGACACCATCTGACAAAGGATGCACGGCTCTTTTGCAGCTATCACCAAAAACCTGCAGACCAGTGCCAAACTGTGTGATGGACTACCTACATCAGTTTTACCAACAAAGGGATACCAGTCTAAGCCTGCTGTGGGATGAATTTCATGGAGCTTATTTACAAACCAGGGGTGGAAAACTGCATCGGTGAAAGTAAACAGCCTAGACACCTCACATTACTGGCCCACATCATATTCTTTTATATCTAAAAGTAAAAAAATATGGCCCATTCCCACTGCCCACCCACCCCATGATATTTACAAGTAGGATCAGCCAAGATGGTACATAAGGAAGATACACAGGCAGACTGTGCTTTCAGTCTCAGTGTGGTTTCTCCATCTTCTGCTGACAGACTCCTTTATTGCTCGGGACACTGGCTGGACCTCAGCAGTGCTGTCTGCACCTCCAGGATGTTGACAGAGCAAACAGCAGGGAGGCTTTGGCAATCTCTGGCAGTGGATGAAACATGTGCAGTTGCACACTAAATTGCCAAAAAAAAGGATGAGAAGATGTATGAGGTACATTCACAGCTACCCACACTTCTGGTGCATGTTCCACTGCAAGAGAATCCAGCATCTGCCGTTGAAAACTGTCAGTGTTCACATTTGGCACAGAAGTATTTGCATCTGTGGACTGCAGTGAAACCAGAGATCCCAGACGTTAAAAACATGCACTTATGGAAAGGAACTGCAGGCTCCACATAGGAACATCAATAGCCTTGTGCATTTACAGCAGGAAAACACATAATTACAGCTTTAAAAAAATGCCACAAACATTTTGTAGATAAAACAGACTTCAGGGCTCTAAGAAATGACACTGTGTCAGTTCCATCTTAGGCTAAAGCCTGCTGGGCCTGGAAGGTAAGAACTTGTAGCACGCTGCTTCTGGAGCGTGCCAGGAGGCCAAGAGGAGCAGTCCTCCCAACGGAATGCTGTAGATAAAGGTAAGACATGGAAAATACGCAGGAACAGGAACACAGTCTAGGAGATGGAGGCAATTCCAGAACTATGCTTGCAGTGACGTGCTGCTGTTAGCAGTACGGAGCCATCCACAGCGCAGGAGTTAATCGTCGATAGTTGGCAACCAGAAGGCCTAGAGAGGAGGAAAGAAAACATCTTTTGATAGCAGAACACAAATCTCTCCTACAGCATCCTGTAGGAGCTGCCACCTTCTGCAGGCACACATGAGAGGCACTGAGCCTTCTCAGATTCATCTCTGAAAGGGTCAGCACCTCATGGAGCTCAGAGGAAGTTAATGCCCATATTTCCTTACCATATTGGAACATGCACTAGCGAAAGTCATGAATTTTGGATTGAACTGCAGACAGGTTATAGGACCTGTGTGTTTTCCATCTAGGACAGCCACCTTCATCCCACTTTCTCCATTCCAAACATGGATCTTCCCATCCTCTGAACCTGAAGGTAGGAGTGGAAAACAAGATATGCAAGATGCACTGGAGATGTCAGCAGAGGAAAGAAAGAACTTTTTTTTCTGTCAGAACTTTAGGAACAGGCAGGTCTCAACTTCATAACACAACCTTTAGAGTTCTCCAAGTGCCATAAGGGCAAGTACAAAACATTATAGAGTTGAAACACCTGTATCCAAATGGCAGGTTTGTATCTTTGCACTGCAGAGACTCAACTACACAACAGGGCAACACTCTTCAGGCAAAGATGTTAACTACTGTCACCCAGTAGTAAAGGAGACCTGACACCTCCAGCTGTAGAGGAGAGACCCTGGCCAACCTGCACCAATGTGCAGATGCCAAGTGCTGGGGAAAGAGTCATTGTTCACACAAGTTCTCAGTTCAGACACAGGTAAATGTCTCACTCAGTGGGCACAGAATCAAGCCTAAGCTTTCACCATGGAAGGGAACCAGATTTCAATGCACTAAGCCAAATATCAGAAGCTCCCATGGAGATATCGACTCTTCACATTACTATAATGGAACAAGTTTTTCACTTTAAAATTACATTTTTCAAACTCTGAGGCTGAGAACTTAGAAATTTTTAATTCAGTTCTGCTTTAGACTCATTTTAAATAGGATTCCTAATAAAAATGCAAAGCATTTTCTTCTCCTTCTGTATTTATGTCTGTAGCCTTTCAGGAAAAAATTAAGAAGCACAAGTTGCAACTTAACCATATGTAAAAACTGAACAGGAATAAGTGGTTTGGAACTTCTACTACTGCTTTAATTTGGAAGAGCACAACAGGAAGGTAAATATGTGCAATAAAGTGCTCTCCAGAGACAAACTAAACAAAACCCCCACCCATCTTCTCTGCAATCAGGAAGTTCTCAGCCAGAACAAAAGAAAGGGAGTTTTGCCAAGACCATCACTCATACAGGAAAAATGAGGATCTGGATATCAAATTACCACTAGGTTAAACATATTTGATATATCAGCCACAGAAATAAGATAAAGTTCTAGGATGGGCAGCACCATACAGATTCATCTGACTTGTGTCCAAAGGTCCTGCTGTGCAGCAGGTGACTCAAGTGCTCATTGTGGGGTGCCCAAGGTGCAGCACCAGCCTGTACAGGAGTTTCAGGCTGATTTTTGCCACCTGCTTCCCTCAGGAGTACATCTTGCACAGGGCCAGGGGAATCATACACTGGAAGCCACCAGACTGATGCCTACAGCTTCTATCAAGGGTTAAGAATTTGTTCCACAGACACGGGGGTTTACAAGAGCCACATGAACAAACTGCAGCAGCCCCAGAATGTCACCAGTGAGAACAGCCCTGTACAAATGTACCAAGCTACAAGACCAGTCTCCCAAGCACAAATATGTGCTTTGGTCATCAGGGGATGGCCACAACACAGCCACAAAATGCTGTGAGGCAGCACATGAGGGTGCCCTAGCCACAGGGAGAGGACCACTAACAAACTGTGTGACCAGTTTTCCCACACTACAACAGTTCCCTGGTTTCTTATCTATTTTGGAACAGCATTTATATATAGGAAAAGAAGAAAAGACTTCTTGCAGGCTTTTTTATATTTCAGTCTAGACAACACTGAGCAATCTAACAAAACAGAACACTGTCACTGCAAAGAAAGCTTACAGCTGTATTGTATTATTTAAATACATTCTGTTTCCCAACAGACACAGCTTTAGCCCTACATAACACGGCTAATTTCAGAGCACTGAAATTCTTGCCAAGAATTATCTTACCTATCATGATGAACTGAGAGTCTGGTGTGAATGATGCCTCCAGCGTGACAGCCTTACTATTGTTATAACCCTATGGCACAAAACAGGAGAATATGTAGTAGAGAGTGTGTCCACAGCAATCTCACAACCCAAGGGCACCTGCTCCCCAAACTAACAGCAGGTTTTCCAGCAGGTACCAGAGGCAGCAGGCTCACCCCAAACGTGTGCAAGACAGCTCCTTTGAAGGCATCGATGAGCCGGATGAAGCCGCCGTTGGTGGAGATGAGGATGAGTTTGCCATCATTGCTGAACTTCAGGCCTGTCCACTCACACGTTCGGTCATACTGCATCTTAAACGTGGCAAATGGTCCCTGCAGACAGAAAATGGGAAACATGGAGGCTGTTTGTTCATGTTGCTGTTAACAAGAATCTGCTTTTAACCTTAGTGCAGGAAAACAGCTCAGATTTTTTAAAAGAAAATCCTTAGCCCTAAGATACCAAAAGACAGTGTTAAGACAAACGTGACTCTCCATGTATAAGTTTCAATATATGAATCTAGTTTCCAAAACAAAAAATGAGAGCAATAGGTTGTTTCAATCCAACAGTTTCATACTCTACCACAATCAACAGCACAAAATAAATTAAGGTAGGAACAGGTTTTTGAACAAGGCTGCTATTGAAGTTACAGAAAGAATGTGAGCCAGCGTAATCATCATCTGAGTTTTGAGAACCATGGACCTAACTATGCTCAGTGTTTATTCAGTTCAGCTGACCACACCAGTACAGTTTCCTTTGAAATTTCCATCTCTTCTGACAGTCCTGGCTCAACCTTTGCCAGTGTTCTTCCAGAATAAGCAGCAAGGAAAGAAAGGCCAAAACCATACAACAAAGAGCCTGAACTGCAGTTTGGAGCAGGTTCAAGAGCTAGCACTTGAATATTGGTTAGGTGTACCTCAGGATTTCTATCTCTGTCCATTAAATGTGTGCATAATGAGAACTCTCTGGATGCCAAGGAGGCACCCAGACAGCAAACTCAAGTACACAAATCCAGCCTTTGAGCACTGAGCTTAGATTACTTCTTGCAAGATCAAAGCTGTAAAAAGTGAAGTCAGGGTACCTCACCTTGTCAAAAGAACGGAGATCATAAAGCTTCACCATTTCAGAATTGACTCCAGCAGCAAAAATCAACCCTTCTGGGTCAAAAGAACACACTGGCTTCCCTTGGAGATGCATTAAACCCTAGAAATAGAAATAGCCAGAATTATTTTGCAAGACTGATGCTTATGTTTCTACCACCCCCCTTTGAGTCCACTGGGAGCAAGACAGCACACTAGGGGTGGAACAAATTAATTTCAATTGTAAATACTGAGGTTTTACACGGGTTCAGAACTCAGCTTTCTCAACTTTAGGCCATCATATAGGGTTTCCAATTTGCTTCAGTCACAAAGGTTACACCAAAACAAATAAAAAACTCATTCAAGGTGTCAGGCACTCCAAAAGTCCCCGGAGAAGGGAGGCTCATATGGGTGTGTTAACAACAACACCAGGCAGCACCACAAAACACTGCTGCTGGCATCAACAGCAATGCTCCACCACTTATGGCTGCACAAGGGAAAAAAAGTACTTTGAAAGCAAGGGAATATCACTGCTGAGCTTTACATGCCTGTTTAATGAAACCTCATACCTGCTGGAAGCCAACAGACCTTACATATGTTACAGATACATATTATAATATTGGCCCTTTGCAAATATTAAAATGAATACTCTATGTGTTATGTTGGACAGTTATGCTGTAGTAATCTCTTTTAAGTAGTGCTGTATTCATCTCTTTTAAGCAGTGTGGTAAACACAGTTTTCAGGCTATAGCATAATATTAAAATAGAAACTATGTGATGTAAGATACTTTTTGTAACTAGCTCAAGGAATGGAAAAGATAAGCAAGAAATTCTTCACATTGTCCTATCTGGATAGAGATAACAGCAACAGACATCAAGATCCCAAGAGAAGAATTATTGCTTCCTTATCAGGAAATCTCAGACTTTGAGGAACGAAGAAGATTGATTTACAAGATGGGGGAGGGAAGCCAAAATTAAGCAGAAACACCCTGGTTTGAAAGGAATGTTTGAATCATGTATGAGATATATGAATATGCAATAGGCTATTGCTTTTAAGGGATAATCCTTTATTAGCAAGGTGTGCTTTGTAGCAGAGTGCCAGGCACATGGACATCCATAATTCTTTGCTTTTTATTGTCTCTTATAGTCCTAATTTTTATTACTATTTTCAGTACTATTAAACTTCTAAAATTTTAACAAAAGTGAATGGTGTTTTTCACACATATTAAAATTGATAGGTTACTACCAGTGCTTATTTCTAATGTTAACTTTTCCTTAAGTCACATCATAGAAAACACTTGAGGAAGTTTGTTAAAAGCCAACAAAATATGTAATCTTCTGTATCCTCACTACCAGTCTGTGCATGTTTGTCAAACATTTTCATGAACTGTATGCACATAAACAAGAACCCATCTTTGATTAAATCCACAACACATTTAACAAGTTTCTGCATTTCTATTTATTTCTGCATTCCTCTTTAGGTGAATCTGGAGATTTTACTGCTTCTCTTCTTTCCCTCACAGGTCCATTTTCCCTGTGGTCTCTGAAGGTGAGGCAGAGCTCAGCCAGTGCTCAGGGCCCTGGTGAGTGGGCCAGCTCTGGTTTCCCAGGAACATTTCCAGGCAGTGTGGCTGCCATCTCATGGGCCAACTGAAAACTACAAGTAACACTTCCTCCACCTGTTTCACAAACTTGGCTGGATGCAGCTTCCAGTTATAAGTCCCAGTTTTACCACTCTTACAAGTTCAAGCATTAGCATAAGTCACAGAATGGCTACTGCACTTACAACCCTGTCTCATGTGCAGCGACTTGGAGATGGAGACTCATCCCAAGGGAAATCTACACGCCGGAGTTAAAGGCATACTCCCAAAAAAAAGCAGAATTAAGAAAAAATATAGAAAAGGCTTGGTTTGAACAATGATAAAATATTTGGTAAGAAATGTAACTTTTTTCTTTCTCTTTCATAAACAGTTCCATCATCTGGAACAAGCAAGAAGCCCTCTCTCATAAGCAAAACAGTCCCAGAGAGATGGGGAAATATGAGAGCACAACATTGTGTACTCAGATACCAGGACAAAACAACTCAGCACCACTAAAGGTAGAGATTGTACTTCCAATCTTTCATTCCTGCCACTGCTGCCAGTTCTTGTATTTTTCTCAGGTCTTACAAGCCTGCTTCCACTAAGAAGAGTAAAGCATTTCACACAAATAAGTAAACAAAAACAGTTTTGCTGTCTTGCTATCGAGTCAAACCTGCTCACAAACAGTTCTGATCAACAACAGAGGTGATGCAAGGAGGTGGCAGACCATATGGCTGCTGTGTTACTTTAGATCATCACTTTCTTCATCAGATTTAATTGCATCAAGGCACCAATTTTAGACACACAAACACTCAGATAAGATGCATTCTCAACACAGGAGGGATGCCAGCTCTGAGAGAGAACACTCTCTGCATAAGGTAGCAGCCTGATGAACAAGCTGATGACACCCAGCCCTTCTCCTGTTTCATCAGCTGTGGGTGTTATTTCTTGCCCTCCCCAGTGCCTCTCCAGCAGAGACACAGGTGAGAGCAAGTGCTGTTACACAATGTGACATACACACACTGCACAGAGATTCCTGACCCAGGCTCCTTCAGGAACGTGTCAACACTAAATCAGCAGCACACACTTCTGGCAGTATTTTTAGTTTGTCACCAACACACACCCATTTTTTATTCTTCCAGCTGAAAATTCAACACATTGTGCACAATAATTTTATAACCCACCTGGCAATTGGGAGAGCGGAGATCCCAGAGACGAATAGTTTTATCCAGAGATCCAGAAATAAAAGTATCATCCACTGGAGACATTGAAAGAGCAACCACCCTGCAATACAGAAACCCACATGCATCAGACACAAACCAAAGAAGTGAATGCAGCAACACCCACCCCAACAGTTGTGGAAAAACCCATAACTCAACTTAGCAAAAGCAGCATGAACCAAGTGTAAGGAACTCAAGCCCACCACCACTCTCATTTCAGTTTCTCCTGGCCTGTCCCCAAGCCACAGCTCACCTTTTTGTGTGCCCTGGGAAATAGCGAATGTATTTGTTGTCATGCAGGGAGAGGTATCGGATTGTGTCTGAAACATAAACAAACCAAAAGCTTTATTATGTATACCACCAGCCCAAGGTTATCTGAAAGAGATCACATAGCAACTTGCTCCCAAGAGCAATAGTAATCTCACCACAGTGCTTAAGCCTGGTAATTTAATTTCATGTAAGACTTGGACAGAGAATCAAGTTGAAACAGAAATAAACCAACTCAGTTCTTAAGCAGAACTGAAAATTAGGCAACAGGAAAAGATACTTCTCACAGTCTGAAGTCATGTTACATTTTAAAAATAACTGTCATGTGATTTATGCAAGGTAATTTCAAAGGTGCTAAAATTTAAGTAGCAGCTAGCAGCAGGTTTTATTCCATTGCTCTCACGAAATGAAGAGTATCAAATTTACAGAGTTGATACCACTTTGTATTGCTTTGCAGCATGAATATTGCTCTCTTTCCTACATACACATTTGTACACAGGAAATGTACAAATTCTGGCACTCAGCTAATGATAAAACCATAACTTTGAAGCCAGGATAAGATCATTAAAAATTAGCAAATCTCTCTTTTTTTTTGTTTAATCTGACAATCAACAACTTCAAACTTTCTCTGCACTAAGCTCTAAAAGAGGACAGAGTAGTCTAAAGCTCAGTGCACTTCAAGCACCCTTAAACATAAATTGAATAGATGAGAGCAGTAGCACAACATTTCTTAAGTGCCAATTTTATCCTGAGTATAGGTGAACACAGCAAGAGTAGTTCACGATTCTGGAACATGCTGTTGAGACTTCCTCCCCAAAATTAAAAGAAATCCTTCTAAGAGGAAACAATTATTACAAGACAGAAGCCACTTTTTAATCTTTATGTGGAGACTCTGTACTGCTGGAACAACCAGTCCTGCTGAGGGTCAAGGACATTTTACTTTTGACTCAGAAGAACATGTGCCAAGAGGATGCAACATGAACTGGGTGTTTGGACAGTCAGAGGGGCTACTGTGTTCAGAATGTTTTGAAAGGCTCATTCAGCAAAAGTTTCTGTCTGTGAAAAAACTGTCAAGTTCTCATTGTTGCCTGAGGTTGCTCATCAAGCTGAGATCAGAGGTCTAAACTACCTTCCAATGTTTGAGAAGCAAACTGAAGCTGCCTGAACAAGCTGGAAATGTGGTACTGGTGACAGTTGTGAAAAGCTCTAAATGACCTGAGGTGATTATCCAAAATAGAAATCCCTAACACCAGTGTCACATCCCACACTGGATAGAACCAACATGCTCCAAAGCTGCTATTAGGGCTCATCTCCAGTTTCCTGCAAGAAGTGTCATTACCTGATCTGAAGTATCCATGCAGAGTTCCATGCTCCATGCTACAAGGAAGCACAGGGCAGTTGTGCTCCCTGTGCTGTCACTGCTGGCAGGGCTCTGTCCCAGGCAAGGCAGTGGCCTGTACAGTTATCTCCTGTACCGGGTGGTATCATAGACCCTCAAACTGTACAAACTACTACCTCAGCCTGGAATCAGGCAACACGAGTTAAGTCCAGAGGTCTTGAGGAAATCTTCACAAGCAGACTGGTAGCAACAAAACATTCAACAGAAAGGAGCTTGCAAGCAAGCACCAGCACTCCTATAGAATGTTCCTGAGGTAATTTTCCCTCCCAATACCTGCAAAACAGGTTAATACAATGCACCTTGCCCATGACCTCATGCATTAGGGACTACAGAGTTCCTGGACTCCTACAGAACACACTGCTGGTTTTATTAAGGTTACAATTTGTAACAGCAACAAACATTCTCACATTGTCTCTTTTTCTTTTCTCCTATTTAAGTGTTCACCATAATGCTACCCTGCAGCAGGAAGATTTAAGTCTTAAGGCTTACCATTGCTTAGAAACAAAAACTCAGTATTCAAAATGGCATTAAAATGCTTCATTAGATTGTTAATTACTACTTATTGTAAATTAAATAACAGTCAAATTAAAAATGTGACATATACTAATAATATAATGTAAAAAAGAAACAGGTTCTGAAACAGACTAAAAAGGCATGTGCTTCCTGTGACACTTTTAAACCTTTTACACCATTAAATCCAATTCTGGTGGAGACTTCCTTGTTCCTCTATAGTTTCAGGCCCAGCTTGCACTAGTTTAAACCAACCTCCTAAGTCTTAACTTCCACCTTCTCTAAATTCACAGCCTTTGCATTTCCTTTAGTAGCCCAGCACACATCACAAGGCACCACCATCTCTACTGTTAAGTTTCATCTGTGCAAAGGAAAAACCAAACCAAAACCTCTACTACAGAAATTATGAGTCTACAAGTAGAGTGTTAAAATCCATTTGTGAAGTGCTGTGCTAAGAGATGTGGTCACTGCAAAATTCTCAGACATTGACTGTGAAGAACAAAAGCAGGACTGAGCTCTGTGAGCTCCTCCAGGCTGGGCTGTGATGTGCTGAGCTGCCTGAAGCTCTACCCTCCTTCCTCTGCAGCTGAGCTGTGTGCAGCAGGCACAGCTGTGGCACCGGGCCCAGCTGCTGCTTCCACCTCACTCAGGTAGGAAATGAAGGGGCAGAGGCCGATGACAGCACTGACACCAACACCAACTGAACAGCCCAATGAAGAACCTGAGTTTTATCTCCCTGACATTGTTTAACCCCTCAGTTACTGCAGCAGTGAATGAACATGTAAGGAAGCTCAAGGGCCTAGCACCAAGCTGTGCATGAGTGTTGGGCATTAATTCCCTCCTCTGCCTCTGACAGAGTTCTCATCACTGAAGACCTGTTATAACTTTTTCCCAAATCTTTAGCTCTAATTATCCAGACACGCAGGGCAAGGAGATCATTATGCTCCACTCCAGTGCATCACTTACCATCTATTTTGTTGGAGCTGTACACAACAGTGTTGGCAGCATGGGTGTATCTGATGAGGTCCACTCCATACTTCTTACTGTACAGGGTCCTCTTTGGCCTGTCAGGAGGAAGCAGAAATAATTGCACTCTCTGCAACAAAAATCTCAAAACAAAACACATCAACAAGGCCTGTTCCCATTGAGGCATTACATGATTGTTTCAAGAAGTCAGATGTTTTTATATAAAGAAAGAAAAGCTTTTGTATTTTATTTTCAAACAAGCATCTTGTTTCTCCAAAACCACCCCTAGGCCTGAGGAGCTCTCTGTAACACCTGCTAAATGCATGTGTCTCCTCCAAAAGTCCTTTTCCTATGACATCTACTGCCAAAAGAGAAGGAGGAGCTACCATAATGAGCACAGCAAGCAGCACTGCCTTACTGTGCCCTTGCCCATTCAGATCTCCCATTCATCTGCTGCTTATTTTAGCTGAGCATAATTTGTCTTTGTTCTCTGTTACTCCAAACCCTAGAACAGGGTGTCTTGTTCATGGGGTACTAACCCCAACACATCTATGCACCAGCCATCTCTAACAGACAGAGTAACACAGGGACTTCTCCAAACCACTGCAGAATCACACTTGCATCCAATCTTAGGGAAAGAAATTTAACATTTTGCAACCGAATGAAAAATCCTAGTGAGAGCAAACACAACCTACAGAACTGGGTTTCTGGGGGTCTGGTAAGCAGGTAAATTAGCACTAGAAATTCAAACTGCAGAGCAAGCTTGGAAGCAGCTGCCTCATAAGGGGATCTCAGAGCAGGGGTGCCTGTCTGAGCAGTGCAAGGTCTCCAGCAGCCTCCTTCCCCTTTCATCCCCAGCTGAGGGAGCATGAAGGTTTCAGAGCTGGGCAGTGGAGCAGCGAGGGCACTGATCAACACCAGAAATGCCATTCTTCTGGGAGCTATTTTTATTCCAGACTCATTACTCTGGTTATTACACAGGCCCACAAAATATTTTACCCACACAACCAAAGACAAACAGCATGGGAATGGAAACAAACAGCAGGAGCACTCAAACCCAAAACTGCTGCCAAGAGAAAAGTTTGTCAGACTACACCTCAGACAAGGTATTTATATTGCACTGGACTTTTTCCTTCTTCATTAGCCTCAACCTGACACACCCAAACAAGAGCACAAGTTGGAGACTTTTCATATCAAAACAAAAACAAGATATTCATTCTTGAATATCAATTCTCAAACACCAGAAGCCAGAGGGCTTTGACTTCAAACAAACTTACTGGGGACAAGTTCCCATGAAGGGAAAGCCAATCCAGCAAGTGCAGTGAAAAGCCACACACCACCTGTACCACAGAGCAAATCTCAACTGATTCTTCCCCAGTAACTCCAGCACTTTTTAAAATCATTCTTCAGATCTAAACATGCCACACACTGAAAAAGCACACCTAATTTAAATTTTGACACACTCTAACATTATGTGTGATATACTTCCCCACACTGACCAATCTGGTGGGAATAAAACCCAACAACAAACCCCAATCTCAAAATAGATTATATGTATTAGATTCTCCCATGCCTAGTTTGGCTTTTCCTTTTCTATTACAAGTTTAAACCTCAGAAGATCTATTTAGAATGAATTAACAAGAGAGAGACAATAAAGATCAACAGACAGGCAAAAGTACAAAGAAGGCAAAAGAGTTTTGTGTTCTACAAAAGGTGAAATTTTCATGTAAACTGATACAAACAAAAGTGTGTCTCTGCACACGAGACCTGTTGCCAGTCAACTATTTTAAACACAAACCAGAAAACTAAGTCGTTTTAAACAACAAATCACAATCACTAAAACAATTCCAAAGTCAAGGTCAATCTATGCAGCTCACCTACAAAAAAAAAGCAATATTGACAAAGAAAAATACAAGATCTCAGGCAAATCTGCTACAAAGATGAAACAGAACACAGGCAAGGACTGCAGAATCATTCATGCCTTGGTTTGAATCACTGCTGCTGTGGGTAAAACATCACCACAACCAGGAATGTGGGTGTGCCCAGCAAACACCACAGTAAAGCAGGAGTCCTGATCTGCCACTTTATTTGTTTCAATAATACACAACTGAGAGACACCAAAACACAAGCTAAACCTTTACTGGAGCACCTTTCTACCACTGCAGGGTCACCAGTGTGCAGCCAGGCTGGTCCCAGCCTCAGGGACTGCTGTACCTCCAACACACAACAGCTCTCACAATCCTTCCTCAAGCCCAAACAGACTCCAGCCTGCTGTGGAGGTGATGCAGGATGGGTTACAAATTCAGTGACAATTGAGTTGTTTGCACACTTTGAAATACAAATGGAATTTCAGGACCAAAATCATTGGATGCTCCTGTCAGTTCTCAGCCCAGAACAATACATGATAAGGAGATAATCTTGTCCTGTCAGCCCTTGGCTACACAGCACTGTCCCAACTGTCCTGACACTGTCACAAGTGAAGAATGTGCCCAACCCCATCTTAGAGCTGAACAACTCATTCTGGTGTGGCAAAACAAAGCAAACCAGGTGAGGATACTCCTAAAGTACAAATAGCTGCATTTTAATTCTACCAGCAGAACTGCTCACTGACAGAGGAAACACCAGATTTTCCCACTTTTACACAGGGAAAGGCATTAATTTTCAGGCCATTTGATGAAGCAGGATATCCTACATTGAACCCCAGCAAGCAGGACATTTCATTTCCACCTGGCCATTCTATCTAAGCAGGTGAGAGTTCCAGGCTCTTGAAATTGTGATTTGTAAGGAAAAACAAACCAACTATAAGACTGAAACTGCCACAACAATGATCACTCAGAGACCTGAAATATCATCCTCACATGAATTTCAAGTGACAAAGTAATTCAAAGTAAAACTTTCCAGCTTAGAGAATAAGTGTGCCCTGCATCCTTAGACACCCCTAAAAATCACAGCTACACTTTTAAGCCAGCTGATAGTGCATGAGAAGCTTTCAAATAATTTTAAAATTTTATAACCACCAGAACTGCATCCTGACACAGAAGTTACCTTGAAACCACTCTCACTGCCATGCAGCACTGCAGTAGAGGACCACTGATCTACATTTAACTTAATTAAAGCAAAGCCTCTGACTGTAAAGCACATCAGGATTAGATGGAGATAGGAATGAAAGGGCCAAATGGTTCCCAACCCATCAAACCATTCTTTACATGTTTGAAAGGGGAAGAGCAATCAATACCATCTGCATTAACATCACTCAGCCCTGCTACCACTGTCTATAATTAAGATCTGGGATACAATCCATGGCACAATCCATATGTATAGAGTTACCTGTTCTTACAGAAATCAAAATTAAATACTTTTATGTCAGAGCTCATTCTAGCAGATGGGGAACACCAACAATTTTAATGAGTAAAGCAATCAAACTACAGAGAAGTCTAAAATAATATATAAAAGGTGTGCCATAAATAAAGAGAATATGTAGGAGGAAATCTTTCCTCCCAGCAAGTATGATGTCTTGGCCTGCTTGGAAAAGTAGGAGGGTTGGGAACACCTAGTTTACTAGAAAATATATATATTTTATGTATATATATATACACAACAGAAACATACAATACTGACATATCTCTATCTTGAGACCCCCAAGCCATTTCTTTTTCATTCCTGCACTACCCTGACCTTTCCATTCCCTGCCCTATAACACACACACTTCTCCTTTCACGTTCTGTGTGGATGTGATGCTTCCCAGCCCTGACTTTACAAAAAAAACCAAGAAAAACCAACAACCTCAGAACTACATCTCTACACCAATAAGCACATGTAAAACTTAAAACCCGCAGGAATTTAAAGCAGACAAATGCACACTTGTACAGAGTGTGAGAAAGAGAAAGTACAGAGAAAGATTTTAATGGCATAATGACACCGTTTGGCTCAAATTGTTCCAACTCTCACAGACTACAAAAACCCTTCCTTAGTGTAGGTTTCCATCTGCTGAACAGGAGCACCAGATCTCAAATGCTCTGCAGATTTCTGAGAGTTTATCCGAAAATCGAGATGAGCAGCATGTGATCAATTATAGAACAAAGATAAACCCGGACAGTTAAATAAGAAACAGAAACACACCCTCAACTCAGTACCCTTAGGTAACAGAAATCAACCAACACCCTGATCGATTACACCCAAACAGGCAGTGTTCAAAGACACAGGCAATTCACACGGTGCTTTACAGATAAGGACACAACTAGAGAAAATGATGCAAAGCACAGAGGACCACGTTTGCCTGCAGCGATCCAAGACACCACTTAGGAACTGGGTTTTACGGAAAACACCACCAGGTTTTTCTTGTTTTAGTTTAGTCACATTCTCTGCACCTTTTGGCTTAAAGCACTTAGCAAAGAAGTTACACTCAAATGAGGCATTAAAAGGGCACATCTGCACATTGCTCACAACAACCACATCTCCACTAATTAGCGAGACGTGAGCCCAGAGAAGCCCGAGAAGTCAGTTCCATACCTGCAGCAACCCTGCAAATGTGACCAGACTGAACCCTTTAGGCTTAGCAACTGTTCAGCTCTCAGAGAAGTGAACTTTCGCTTACACTGAGGAAAATATCACCACTGTCTCCAGCCTAACGATAACAAGTACATGCGTAGAGCAGCATCCCCACGCTGCTGCCATCCCTGCCGCTGGGACTCTACTCAGAAGCCTGCGCTTAAAAACAATTAGAGAGAAGCTCAAGCTGAAGCTCACGGGCCAGATGTGCGGGCACAGCTTGTCCCCAGAGGCCACTGTGGGCAGTCGCCAGGGCCCCTCGCACGCCGTGCCCCAGACGCTGCCCCAGCCCCCGAAGGCCGCGGCCGCAGCCCCGCCACTCACTTGCCCTCCTGGCAGTCGTAGAGAACGATGGAGTCATCGTCGCTGCTGGAAATGACGGTCTCGCCGTTGGGGCTGAAGTCGAAGCAGTTGATCTTGTCCGAGTTCTCGCGGAAGACCTTGGCCACGCGGAAGCTCCGCAGCACGTTGTCCGTCAGCTTCATCCCGCCCGCCGGGCCGCACCGAGCGAGGGCGGCGGCGCTGAGGGCAGCCGGGCGGGGCTGCGGGCGGCGGCGGGAACGGCCGGGCCGGGCGGGGCGGGGCGGGGCGCTCAGGGGCGGTGAGGGGCGCTCGGGGGCCGCGGGGCCGGCGGAGGGCGGCGGGCTCGGCGCGGTCAGGCCGCGGAGAGGCGGCTCCCCCTCATTGTGTCCGCCATCTTGCGGCTCCGGCGGGGCCGCGCGGGACACGCTGGGAACGGGGGGTGCTGAGGGGGCGGGCGCGGGGGCTGCTGGGACGGGGGAGGGCGGGGTGGCCGGCGGCCATATTGAGTGTGGCAGGAAGGGCAGAGAGGCCCGCGCGCTCTCAGTCCGCCGCGATTGCCAGCATCTGTCACCGCCCCCGCTGCTCTCGGGGCGCGAGGTGGGAAGGGGCGGCGGAGGGCACGGTCGAGCGGCTGTGGCGGGGCCGGGGTTCGTTATCCGTTATTTACCCACCCACCCGCCCGTGCCGATTGAGGCGTAGGGGGCCGGGTTGAGGGCATGACGTCATACCGTAGAACGGGCAATGGCTTCGCGCCGGCGGGAGCGCGTCACTTCCGGTGCGGGGCAGAGCGGGCTGCGGGCCGTGAGGGGCCGCGGGCAGCGCCCTGTGCGGGATATCCCCGTGTGATGGCGATTTAAGGCGGTTCTCGGAGTCTCCAGTGGAAACTAGAGAGAAACGCACTGGTCGGCAGCCGGCTGAACATGAGCCCAGGCGTGCCCGGGTGGCCTAGAGGGTCAGTGGCACCTGGCCTGTACCAGCCATAGTGTGGCCAGCAGGAGCGGGGCAGTGATTGTCTCCCTGTCCTCGGCACTGGTGAGGGCACTCTTTGAGTGCAGTGTCCAGTTCTGGGCCCCTCAGTTCAGGAAGCACATTGAAATATTGGAGCAGGTCCAAAGAAGGGCAGCAGAGCTAGGGAAGGGTGTGGAGCACCATCATGTGAGGAGCAGCTGAAGAGCTGTGGGTGTTTACCCTGGAGAAAAGGAGGCTCAGGGGTGACCTTATGCTCTCTACAACTTCCCCAAAGGAGGTTGTAGCCCGGTGGGGCTTGGCCAGCTAACCACTGACAGGATGAGAGGACACCGCCTCAATCTGTGCCAGGAGAGGTTTAGGTTGGACATCAGGAAGAATTTCTTCACGGGAAGGGTGTTTAGACGCTGGAATGGGCTGCATGGGGAGATGTGGGGTCACTGTCCATGGAGGTGTTCCAGGAAAGGCTGGCTGTGGCCATGTGGGGTCTGGGTGGCACGGTGATGCTGGGCCATGAGTTGGACTCGGTGTCTCAGGGCTCTTTTCCAACACAGGGGATTTTGTGCTGTGCAGGCATCTCGGCAGAGCCCGGCAGGAACAGCCTGAGGGCAGCCCAGCATCAGAGTAGGGAGCGGCAGGAACAGCCTCAGGGCAGCCCAGGTGACCAGGGAGTGTCAGTCAGCTCCCTCTCCTTTGAAACACACTGTGATCACTTTCTCACCCTTCCCCTCCCACTTTCAGTCCAGCAGTCAGCACATTTTTATTTCCTAGTAATCTTTATTTCCTCTAAAAATTTTCAGCACATTTTTATTAAATCCCAGTAATCTTTATTCCTCTAAAAACTTGTTGGCAATATTACAGCAACACCACAGCTGTAGCACCGTGCTCCTACACCACGTGGGCTCTCAGGTAAAGGTGGGCAGCACACACTTAAGCCTTTGAGAAACACACCGTGGCTTTTGAGGATGCTGCTCCAGTACACACACCTTGGAACTGCTTTTTTCTATCACAAATCCTGATGACAGGCTCAGTGTGCATGTTTTTGTGTATTTCTTACCTTAAAAAGCTGCTCTTGGACTATGAGTAGCTGTGAAAATTTCACCCCATGAAGTTTGCTGCTATTTTAAATTTAGAAACCAGCAGATCTTGTCACTTTGATCCCCCAGAAACACAATCAAAAGAAAAAAAAGAACTGTAGATGCCTTCCTGAACGTTAATTGCATTTCCTCTCAAGGTGTCCAGAATAGAGTTTGATTTTGCTTTGGATCCTGTTGCCCTCCTGTGGTCAAACCTCAGCAAGTCCAAGGACTGTTAAAGCTCTGCACGTCCTTCAAACGGGCTCAATTATTTTGTGTGCATTTATTTTTGTCTGATTTAGTGAATTGTTTCTTTTCTCAGAGTCCTTGCCCTCGCTGTTTGCTTGCTGGAGCTCCCTCTTACATGTTTAAAGATCTCATCCTCTCACACTGCTGTGGGTTTGGCTCTCAGAATGATTTACCTTTTTTAATTTGAACCAAGTCAAGACTTTCACAGGGGAGTCCAGGGATACCAGAACACGCCCTCATTCCTCCCGAGGGTCTGGGGTCAGCTGCCCCTTTGTTAGGCCAGTTCAAACCCCACAACTGATTTATTTTCCTGTGAAAAGAGGGTTTAGAAAAGCTGGGAATGTCGTGCCTCCTGCACACTCTAAATTGCAGGATCAGAGCCTGGATTATCTCCTGCAGGCCCGGAGGTGACTCACCAATAACATCATAAGACAATTTACTTCAAAACACCTACAATACTTAGCTAAGTTTTAGAGTTGTATAACACCGTGGGTTGTTGATTTGATATTTTGTCACTTCCTTTTTATTCTTCTGCCTTTCTTCCTAATCGTTGGAACTTAGTTTGTCAGTTTATACCAAGCTGGAATTTAGCTGGCAGGATAATTGGATCTCCTAGAAAAATGTCATATTAAGTAGGAATTATGGATAATGCCCCTGCAAAATTAGTTAATGGAAAAAATGTTTAATTGCTGCTTGAGTAATATCGATCAAATGCAGTTATTCTACCTATGCATTTCTGTATTAGATACCAGGGAACCTGCACAATACAGGCACTTGTGCTTGCTCAGCAGCAAAAATTCACACTTCTCCCTGCTGAGGGCCCTGAGCTTTCTGTGGGCCCCGACCTTGAGTTTATCCCAGTTCCTCTGGAAGGTGCCTCCATCAGCAGTTCCCCAAACTCTGTGCTGCTCTCTGGGTCCCTAATGAAGCCGTGGGGCAGCACAAGCACCAGCAGAGCCCCTGCTGATGACCAGCTGTCAGCTGGACCCCGGGCCATGCTTTCTGCCCTCTGAGCCCCGTGGTCAGGCTGGTGTCCAGCTGGGATTGCCCAGCCCACCCTCCAGCGTGCTCACAGGAATGATGTCAAAATCCCCAGCAAAGTCCAGGCAGTTCACATCTGCTGCTTTCCACCTTCCCCACAGCCTCTTGTCTCAGCCCAGAGGGCAGCTGTAATTGTCATCCTGTGACTGATTAAGATTCCTGGCTCTTTCTCCTCTTATGTTATTTCCAGCTGAGGAGCTCATAATTTTCTGCTATTAATCCCAAAGACCATGACCTTGTATTTTGCAGCACTGAATTTCAACCCCTTTCTACTATTCCAGTCCTCAAGGCTCGCAGCTTTTCATCTTCTCTAGAATACTGTGATCCTTCCCTGGATTTTAAATGACTCTCATCTTTGATGGCAAGTTGACTCAGAATAGGGAGCTTGAGAAATTACAGCATGAAAGGAAGTAAACTTGGCATGGGCTTGGCTTCAGGGTAGTAGTGTTCTGTGTTGAGCTACAGAAGAATTTTTAGTGAAAAATTTTTCTTCCTTGCAATACCCAGAGCATGGGAAAATCATTTCCAAAAGGTATATAGGGAGTGAAGGGAGTGTGACCTAGAAAAACTAGTAAGATGCATATGTCAAATCCAGTTAATTTTTTTTTGCTAATGATACTGATCTATATATATAAAATGCTGAATAGAACACTTATCTTCCCTGTGTTTGGCCTTAAGCCACATTCCCCATCAAAGGCAGAGAGACCCTGTTGACACTTTCCTGGTGAGTAAATCAGTCATGAGAGCAACATATTTCTTTTCCGAGCAACATATAGAGAGCCATGTACTGGAAACTAGGACTCCTGGCTTTCCCAGAGCTCAGCATATTCTTAAAACAAAGGTATCCAGGCTCCATCCTACTTTCTCCCTTGCCTGCCTGGCAAACCCTGTGGACTCATCATGCTGCTGCTGACCACCCTGATACTTTTTCCCACTTTTGGATGCAGTGAGAGGGGGCAGAGGGCCCCTCACCCTGTCCCTGCACACCCACTCGTGCACTGGACCCTTCATAGCTGCCCATCCTTGCTGCAGACATTTTCTCTTTTGCCAGATGTGAATGAGGCAGTGCAGTAATTTTATGCAAATCCATGTGCAGATTAAAAAATTAATCAAATTCTGAAATTTTCATTTAAAGAGATTAGTCTTGAAAAATCCCCCATCTAATCCTCCCAGAATAGTCACTTGGAACAAGCCTTCAGTGCGTTGTTTCCCTCCTGGGTTTAGTGCATCTCCTGGAAAATTTTCTTGTAATGCTTTTGGGACCATGTGGAGCAGCAAGCCTGGGTTTGAGCAGGGCTCACCAGGCGAATTAAAGTTGATATATCAAATGATAGAGGAGATGTGTCAGTAAGTGGGAACAGGGGAGTTTAAGGCAGTAAAATCTCCACTTTGTTGTACTTCATAGGTAAATTCCCCTGGTGATGCAGGAGGAATTGCAGCAGGGAGCCTTGGTGAGCCTGTCAGTAATTTACATGCTGAGAGGCCAGGAAAAAGTCACGCAGCAAGAAAAACGAGGAACAAGAGACACTGCTAAAACTTGCTGTGTCTGGGAGTTTACTGCTGTAATCTGTCTCTTAGAGCTTGAGCTCAAAATTATCCTCCAACAACTGGGGTTTGATCCAGTGCTATCTCAAATATTTTCCTAGCCCCTTGGGGATTTTGAAGCTGACCCTGTAGAAGGTGTGCCAGCCACCAGTCCTGGAGGAAATCCAGAGGCATCCTGACAGCATTGAAACTAAAGTAACTTAGGTCCCTGTTCTCAGTTAAACCATGTATTCTGGCACAGCATCCTCTGATCTCACAGCACCTGAAATGCTCAGGATGTCTGTGTGGTTGGGTTGGCCTGCAATAAGCTCAATTGCCCCAAGTTCAAAAAAACCACAAGCCCAAGATGCAAATCCTTGAACAAACCTCCAACCACAGCACCTGGAACAGCTCAGCCCTGCCCAGTGATGTCAGACTGGCCCCTAGAAAGGAGTAAAGAAGTATTTTTCTAGCTTTCAAGTACCTGCCATGGAGTGAGGTGCTGGCTCATTTTTCTCACTGCATGGGCATGGCCAGCTCATTTGTTCACTGTTTTCTTCCCCAGTGTGCCTCCAAGTTTATGGCTCAGACTCTGCCCTGCTATGTCCATGCTTTTGGTCTCTTGCCACCATCCAATTTACTTGGCAGCTTTACCACATTTCTGCCCCTACTGCTGGATTCTTTCTGTCTCCCTCTGACTTTGGCTCCTTGCCTGCAGAATTGCTTTAATTAAAAAGTTAATGAAAGGTAATGCAAACGAGCGTTTTGCCTGTATTTTATCACAGTCCAGCTCCTTCCCCTGCCTCTTTCCCAGAGAAGGTGAAAATGAGAAGCTGGGGTTTTGCTGCATTTTGGTGTGAGAGCTAACAGTGAAAATTTCTACAGGCTTAGGAGGAGCCCTCTGAAGAAAGGGCTTATAATGGTGTGTGTAGATTATTATAAGTGCGTAGATTATTCATGAATGAAAGCTGAGGAAGTTTTCATTTAAAGGGGATTAATCTAAACCCCTTACAATCCTCCAGCTCTCTTTGGAACAGGCAATTCTTAGCATCATTTTCATCCTAAGCTTAGTACAAACTTACAGAAAACTTTTCAAAAGACTATATCCCAACTCCACATTATCCCAACCAGGGACAAAGGGAAGGTGTGAAACCTGAACCTCACTTGTGCCTATAGCTTGTCACCTTATATCCATACAGAAGAGGGCTCATTCATCCTTAAGTGATTTTCCTGAGAAACTGGGAAACTAAGATTAGTGCATGAAGTAATATGAGTCACATCATCAGCCCCTTCTCCCAGCCCAGTTTCTCACAGCCAGCAGTGGGAAGAGGAAAAGGCAGGGATGTGAGGGTGTAATTTCCCCTCGTGCAATATGTAGCAGTTAACAGGCAATTACACCACTTCTAAACCCACCATCTGGGGAGGGAGCATGAGAGCTGCCATTTGGGTTATTTTTCTTTCCACTACTGCCTGTGTTTTGGGGTGATATTCAGTTCTCTTGATCTTGTTTTTAAAGCCTTAGTGAAATGAGTAGGAGTTTTATTTTTTGTTAATATCTACAGTGGATTTCATAGCACTGATTTATAGCTGTTCCCTGATGACATTTAGTACCCAGTGCCTGAAACTGTATAAATAAATTACATAAAAAGGGATTTGTGGTATCATTAGCAGCACCCCCATTCCAAGGGGAGTCTCCAGTGAGCCTGTGTGTCTAATCAGAGCTGACAAGGAGCAGAGTCACACACTGAGACATCCAAAGCAAATGGATCTGTGCCAAATTCAGCTCTCTGTTGCACTGGCATAACGTTGGATAACCTCAGAGCACTAGGGGGTTTTACACTGTATTTACTCTGCCTTTACACCTGTGCTCTGAGATCAGTGCCAGGCAGTGAACCCCAAAATCCTGAGATGCAATAGAAAGGCACTTGCTGGCTTCCACAGGCTCTGGATCAAGCCTCGATGGTTAAAATATAATCTGAGTTCAGAGTGCAGAAAACAGATTACATGCCTGCTATTGTACTGAAATGCTTTCCAGAGTAAGCATTAGCAGTGTGTACACAAGTGCCAGATGAATTAAGCTGGCATTTAGTTTTTCCACCTCCAGTAGGAGAGGACTGCCTTTAAAGAACTCCTGCCTGCTGTGTGGTGTCTGGAGCTGGAGCTGCCAGGAGGGCACGTGTGACAGAGCCACGGCTGAGGTCTGCTTGTGCTCAGTTTCCCCTGCAGGTCTGCTTGTGCTCCATTTCCCCGGGCTTCAGGGTCAGCGGCGCGCAGAGACATCAAGGCAGAGACAAAGTCTGTTAAAAACTTTGGGGCTTTATTTTCTTAAACTCCCCTGCCTCCCTTTAAGCTTTTCTTCTCCAGCCTTTCCTGCAAACCCTGTATTGCAGCTCAGACGAGGTGACCTGGGGTGTGATGCACCTCTGCTTTGTAGCACCTTCCTCTGATTGCACAGTGCCCGGGGCCAGGTGAATCAGAGACCTGCTGGGAGCAGAGATGCTTATCTCAGTTCCTGAGAGGTGCAGGGCTGACCTCCCTGCGGCCTGCACAGTTACTGTGGCCCTCACTGAAGTGGGGTCAGTGGTTTCAACTGCTGGCAGCATCAGCTGCCATGAAGTTTAAGAATCTAGTAACAAAGTGGTCAGGGCACCCTGTCTTTTGTTCTCCTGTCTCCTCGTGGTTGAAAAGCCAGTCCTGACAGCACCTAAAGGGAGTACACATAGGTAGTTAATCTGCCTTGGCTTTTGGCTTTAAAATCTGTTCCCTAAGCAATGAATCGTTTACTTCTAGCCTTGTTCTTAAGGGTCTTTCCCCGCTTCCTGGGGTTCTTTCTCTGACAAACTTTTGATTCTCTATATAGCCTTACCTACAAGTCCCTTGTCCCAATATTTCAGAGTGTTCCCAAGTTTCAATGCCTGAGAAGGTGTGTAAAGGTTTTCTCTGTAGATCTTTTGGGTCCCTGCAGCAAAATAAGGCAGATTTAGACCCAGAGGAGCTGTTGAAAAGCTTGTCCAGCTTAATGATTAACACCTTGCAATGCTAGGGAGTGTCAGGACAAAGAGACCTCTGGACTCCTGAGCTCTCCTAAAAGAAGCCCTTGCACAAAACACATCCATTTACTTGAGAGAGGATTAAATCTCTCTCAGGGAATTTCAATGGGTCTGTGATCAAGTGTGTTGCCCTGGCTGCTTCAGCCTCCTGGCACCCTGCCTTAAATGCCATGAGCAGGAGAGATGCAGATCACAAGGATCTTTGATCCTCAGAAACCAGCAGTGAACTTGCTGCCAGTTAACAGAAGGAAGGAGAAATGCTGGGAGGGAATAGATGTGTGTGTGCTGGCAGGGGCCACCTTTCCTCTGTCAAGACAAGTATCTGCCCTTGAGCAGCTGAGATCTTTTGGTCCATGCACAGATCTGTTGCAGATAATGCTAATGCTCAGTGGAGAGCAGCTCAAATGGGCTTTCACAGACACAGCTTTCACAGACACTTTGCCTGGATATGAAGTCTTATTTGGGCTCTAAATGTGATCTTAATGGATAATGAGGAGTAAAAGAAAAAGGTAAATTATGCCTTGTGTTAATTTGCTGTTTGGTGAGGAAACCTCATTACTGGTCTCTCTGTGGCCACCAGCAGCAAGGGATGGGGCAGCCAGCAAGCCTGTTGTTTCTCCTCAGTCCGTGTCTGATGCTGCAGGGACACATGGGGCAATGCACAGCCAGAGGGTGACATCAGCATTTGGCTGGCATGGGGAAGGGAGTTAATGTAGTGAAAAGCTGTTCCACCCAGATGCCCTGCTCTCTCCAGGACAGAGAGCAGCTTCCCCAGTTTGGAAAGGTGTCAAACGCTAAACAAATAGAAATGATGGCTTGCCAGTGGCAAATCTACAGTGATGGAGGAGCTGGCTGGCAGAGCTCACCTTCCCTGCAGGAGGTGATGAGATTGCAGGGGAATCACAAGCTGACAGATAGTTTGAATGTGACACTGTCCTTCCCTTCCTCCTGCCTGGGGAAAAGTTAGAAAATGCTGCTTGTATGACACCTTAATCTAGGGGAAACAGGAGCTAGAGTTCCACAGTTCATGTTTTGACCTCTCTGTTCTTTCTGTGACAGCCCTGTCTCTTCTACTAGCAAAAGTGTTCACTTTCCCTTGCAGGTCGGAGGCTGCTGGCTGTTTCAGCCTTTGGTGCCTTGCCAGTGGTGGCAGGAGTGCAGAAGCCCACCCCACAAGGCAGAGGGGCTCAGCCCTGGCAGCCTGTGCCCCATGTCCCTCCGCGAGCACGCGCTGTCCCTGTTCCGCGGCGCCCTGGGCACCGTCCGCCCCGCTCCCATGCTGAGGAGGGCTCTGAAGCTCCAGGGAGATGGGAGCCCTCAGCTGCTGGTCAAGGGCCAGGCCTTTCCACTGAAGAGGGACCACCTGTACCTGGTGGGTTTTGGAAAAGCTGTGCTGGGGATGGCTGCAGCAGCAGAAGAGATCCTGGGAGAGCACCTCACTCGGGGGATTATCAATGTGCCGCTGGGGATCCAGGAGAGCCTGCAGCGAGCAGGAATGCAGTAAGGACTGTTTCTGAACAATTTTGGGGAACAGGAAGGAGGGGTATAAGCTGCCAGATTTTTCTCTGTGGGATATTGCTATGAACACCTTAAGTCCTTCTGAGCTGCCCTTGCTTTGCTGCCCACCCCATCCACCCCACTGTTCTCATCTTCAAGCACCATCACATCCCAGTGACACCAGTAATGCAGCTCACCTCTTGTGCTGGGTGTGCTGCCTCTCTGGCTGTGGGGAAGAGACACTCAGCAAAGGCCTTGTGTCCTGGTCACTCCCTGTATGCCACTGGTACCCCAGGCACCTGCAGGTGACAGCCTGGCTGCCTGTGTGGGTGCACAGATCCGTGCTGTAATTGCCTCTCTTACCTCACCAGGGAGATGCTGCTGAAGCCACACAGCAGAATCCAGGTCATCGAAGGTGCCAAGAACAACCTCCCAGATGCAGAGGCTCTGAAGGGAGCAGTTGCCATCCAGGAGCTGGCTGAGGGTCTGACTGCAGATGACCTGCTCCTTGTGCTCATCTCAGGTAGTGTGGGGATCCCAAGGGAGTGGGATCTGCTGAGGCCCCCAGCTGCCTGCCCACCCCTGACCCTGCAGCAAGGGAGTGCTGTGCCGTGCCAGCCCCTTCAGCACAGACACCTGCACCTCTGATTTTCCCTCTCCCTTCTGCCATCCTTCCACCAGGCATGCAGCAAGGGAGAGCACAGGGCTTCCTGCTGCTGCCTCCCAGCACTGGAAAGAGGCTGAGCTGCACAGGCTGGGTCCTGCAGCTGTGCCACCACAGTGAACTGGCACCTCTGGGCACAGCCTGGCAGCTGTTCCCACCTCTTGGCAAGGAGACACTTTCTTCCTGCCCCCTCCTTACCTTTGGGGACGCAGACTTGGAGAAGCAAGCACCTGGTAGATTTGCATGCTCAGCCTTTGTGCAGGAGCGTGAGTCTGAAAGCTGAGCTCTGGGACTGACCTTTCCCACGGCTTGGCTCCTTCCCAGCTAGTGGAAATGAGGCCTCCAGGTAGCACACAGTAAGCTGCATGCCTTGCAGGGGCAGCCCTGCACACCCCCAGGGCTGGCTGGTGGCCCCCAGGCTGTCCCCAGACCCAGGGCTGTGTAAGAAGATGCATCAGAGGGATGCAGTGACATCACCTCATCCTGAGCTCAGTGGCAGAAGCATGCAGGGGCTTGGAGCAGCTCTGCAGAAAGGCCTTGTTCTCCTCTGCTCAGTGTTTATTCCCCTGTGGATGCTGCAGCCTGATCCAGTACAGAGAGAGCAGTGCCATTAGGCAAACACCCAAGTGACTGGAAGCTAGCTGTGCTTTCTGGGGATTCCCCTGGGCTTCCTCCTGTCTTCTGGCTCCAGGGATCTCCAAAAGACTCCTTAGCCCTTCAGGGAGCCTGAGCAGGATCTCCCCGTGGCTGTGACTCCCTGTGCATGTGCACTCCCACACAGCAGCCGGTCCCCAACTGCTCCTGCCTCTCAGCTAGATCCCTGGCTATTGACTGAAACACAGGCATTTGCATTTGTTTTCCTTGCTCATCATGTTTTATTGATGCTGATTTGTCTCAAACCTCTGAGCAGGCTTTGCATTTTGACAGTAGCATTCAGCTGTACTTCTGTGCACGTTCACTCTGTGCACAGACCTTGCTCTTTTCTCCTCTGTATTTTCAATCCATTCCACTTTTCCATTAGAACCTTGCCTTCTTTTCCACATTTCCAATGCCTGCTTGTGTCAGACAGAATTCCCAGCAGTGAAGCTATCACCCTGGACTCAGAGTGTTCTTTGTCCTTTGCAATACTGTCCCCCCTTTTCTCTCCTCCCAGGCCTAGATGAGTGCAGTTCAGCAGTTTCCAATCTTGCTGCATCCCTAGCCAGTGTTTCTACACACTGCCCTGAATAAATGGAGCCAGCACAGCAGGCAGTGTCCCCATGTGCCCAGCACTGGCTGCTGTGTGATCCATGGAGGCCATGGCTCCCTGCTCACCCAGCCAGGTGACCCCTGAATATCAGTGTGAGGAGCCAGCTGCAGCCCAGTGCAGAGGTGAGGGTGGGTGCTGTCCCTCTTCTGTCATCCCCACCACACTGCAGGCTTGTGGTGCCCCCATGCAGCCAGGCTCACACTGCCTGGGTGAAGTGTAGCTGACTGCAGAGAGTGCAGCACAGCAGTGATTCAAACCCACCACTGAAGACGACTGAATTCCCCAGAGATGTTAGCTTAGGTCCCCAGCCACCTCTGCCTTCCCTCCAGACACCTGTGTGGGAAGAGAAAAGGCTAAAGCCTTGCTCTCCTTTGTCCTCCTTCTCCTGCTATCCTGATGTCCTTGCCATCTCTTCTGCATCCTAGGGGGTGGATCAGCCCTCCTGCCTGCTCCCATCCCTCCCATCCTCCTGGAGGAGAAGGAGAAGCTCACAAAGCTGTTGGCTTCCCGAGGAGCTGCCATACAGGAGCTGAACATTGTCCGGAAGACTCTGTCCGTGCTGAAGGGTGGAGGGCTGGCCCAGCTGGCACATCCTGCACAGGTAACCAAGGGAAAGCCCCTGTCTGCCCAGACATCACCCATCTACCCTCAAAACACAGGTTTAAATCAGCTTGCCAGGTTTTTGTCCATACTGAGTGAACAGCTTTGCACACTATTTTGGGGCTCTCTGGCTAAGATTTCACTTTGGACAGAAAGTCTCAGGGAGACAGAGCTGGGAGAGTGGGAATTCAGACTTGGAAAACATCAGCCATCCCATCATGCAGACCCCAGCCCACAGCCAGCAGGCGCTTCCAAGTGTTGGTGCTTCAGCAGAGTGCTTTCAAGGCTGGCTCTGACTCTTGGCTCCCCTGGGTGCTGTTCTCAGTGTGTCCCATTGCTAAACCCACACTAGGTTGGGGCTGACAAGTGCAGTGTCACAGGTTACATCTTCTAACATGATAGTCCAGCTTCAAAGGGGACTGTAAATCTGTGGGTTTGAGAAGGGCAAGGTGACACTCACAGGTCCATAAATTAAAAATGGGTGAAGACCTACCCTGTTTCCATCTGCTTTGATGTGGGGATGGCACTCAGAGCAGTGCTTATGCCAGGGCTCTTTTGTGGTCACCTGTCTTTGCCTCCTGCAATAATCTGTGGGCATCTCTTTCCACAGGTGGTGAGTCTCATCCTGTCTGATGTGATAGGTGACCCCCTGGACATCATAGCGAGTGGGCCCACTGCTCCCAGCTCCCACAGTGTCCAAGACTGCCTTCAGATACTCACCAAATACAACCTGCTGCACAGCCTGCCCAAGTCAGTGGAAATGGTCCTCTCCAGCTCTCCCACCAAGCCCACTGCTCCAGAAAACTACTCCCACGTTTCCAACATCATCCTTGGCTCCAACAGGCTGGCTCTGGAGGAGGCCAGGCGCCAGGCTGAGGGCCTGGGCTATGCAGCCCTGGTGCTGAGTGCAGCAGTGCAGGGGGAAGTGGGCAGTGTTGCCACCCTGTACTGCCAGCTGATCCAGCTGCTCTGCCTGGGCTTCAGCAGCCTTGCAGAAGGGCCCCTGGGGGATGAGCTGAGGGGCAATCTCCTGCAGCTGGCAGCACAGCTGCAGATCCCAGGCTTGCACCTGGAGGAGTTCCTACAGGCCCTGAGAGGATTGGGGCCCGACAGACCAGTCTGCATCCTGGCTGGTGGAGAAACCACGGTCCAGCTCCAAGGAACAGGCAAGGGAGGGAGAAACCAGGAGCTGGCCCTGCGTGTGGGGCTGGGGCTGCACAGGGCCCAGGCCACAGGAGCCAGCAGCCCCCAAGGGAGGTGTGAAATCCTCTTCCTCAGTGGGGGAACAGATGGGCAGGATGGGCCAACGGAGGCAGCAGGAGCCTTCTGCAGCCCAGGGCTGGTGGCTGAGGCACTTCAGCAGGGCCTGGATGTGGAGGCCTTTCTCAGGAACAACGACTCCTACACGTTCTTCAGCCAGTTCCAAGGTGGGCATCACCTCCTGGTGACAGGCTTGACAGGCACCAATGTCATGGACATCCAGGCCATTTTAATTAGAGCCACGGAGAGATCATGAGAGCTCCCTCTGCAGACACCCAGATGCACTTAATTAGGAGCAGGAGTAAATGAAAGCACCAATGCTGTGGACAAATGCAAACTACTTAAATTAGGGCTCACTGTTGAGGCTGCCAGTGTCTTTGACAGAAAGAATCCACTAATTAGACACATGAGTGGACGTCCACAGCAAAAACAAGCACTTGTAATTGGTGGGATCAGAGGAAGGTAAGGGGTCACATTACAGACAAGGAAACTGGATTTAAGGCTTGTGACTGCTCCAGCTATGGTTAATTTAAGAGATGTAGGGAAGTTGAGGCCATTTGCAGAGCTACCATGGAGAGCCCTTGCTGCACTGTTGCACTTGCAGTGTTCCCAGCTAAGAGCAGCTCAGCAGTGGAGTTTTAGGGGTCCACTGGAGCAAATTACAGTGACTGAAGGATGTAACAGCAAGGCCTGCTCACCTGAAGCATGGAGCTGCTGGGGGGATGTGCTGGGAAGGGGACACCCAGCACCTGCTCCACAAGCCAGCACAGTGCCCTGCAGCTCTTCCCACAGCAGAGTGCTGGGATGACAGAGACCCCAGGCCCAGCAGGATGCACAGCCAGGAGTGTGGCTAAGAAGCACACTGGCAGAGAGAAGTTCTTGATACTGGCTGGGTGGCACAAGCAGTGCACAGTGACAAAGAGGATGACATACCTTCACTGTACAGTGTAAGGATGGGGATGAATGAAGCGCAGCGACAAGCCAGCTGTGTGGAGTCCTCCTCCAGCCTCCTTCCCTCCACAGCAACATCTTCCCTGCTGGTCCCTGTTGGGAGAGCCTGTGTGCCAGCAGCATGTATGCTATGAGCTTTCATGGTGTTGTTTTCCAACGGTAGAAAACTGTCGTGCATCCAGCCCGAGCCACTGACCTTTCCTCTGCACTGAGGCAGAAGTTGCTGTCATTCTGATTAACTCTGCTAATTCCACAGAACAAAAGACAAGGAAACCTTCGTGCTCAGCTCTCCTGACCCATACTGCTGAGCTGATCAAAGGGCAGATCTGCCAGAGCTGTGCTCTGACAGGGAGCTGCTCCCCCCACATGCACGAGGACACAGTGGTTATCACGTTTTTGTCACCTACTGCAGTGTGGTATGTGGGAGAGCAGAGATGAGCGCCGGTTTCCCAGGACAGGGAGCTCACAGTGGGGCTGGATTTCAGGAGGGCTTTGCCTGCAGCAACAGGCACACTGACGGTTTGGCTGGGTATTCAAAGGGCTTTAGCTCAGCAGCCAGTATGACCCAGCACGTCCAACTCCTTTTGAATATCCGTCTGTTTGTTACAGAGCCTAAGTGAGAGCTGAGCTCCTTTGAAAATCCAGCTCTAATGTAATAGGACACGCTTGACTCAGACTCTTTCCAGACAGACCGACCTACTCCGTGTGCCTGATCTCATCTCGTGACATAAATACACCCTTGTGCCAACAGCCTGTGGTGTCTCACTGAACAGTCACTTGTTCTGCACCCCACTTCAAGGTGGATCAGAGGGTGGGGTTTTGTGGAGGATGCAAAACCTCCTATTTTGGTTTTGAAGCCAGTATCTAACAAGTAGGGATATCAGCAGGACCATCGTGGGGCCTGCTGTCGATGCCAGGCTGGCAGCTGGACGTTCTGGGCTGCAGCCCAGGCTCAGAATAAGGCACAACCCTGGGAATTTCAAAACCCCACTCTTGCCCGGTGGTTTAAACTCATCCATGCATCTCATTTGTCCTCAGAGTCTGAAGGTCTTTTGTAACATGCCTGAACTTGCTCACAGTGGCAAACAGCTCTGAGATCTGCTGGGGAAAATCTGCCAAGCGTTACAGAGCTCGCTGTGCCCCCTGTAATGTCAGGGGTGGTTGTGCAGGAGAAGCTGCTTTGTGCCCTGTGTTTTTCTCCAGAGGTCGCTGGCAGGTCGCCTGCACCGTGCCCAGCAGGGCAGCTCCATGGGGCACTAACACAGGCAGCCACACAGGCACAGGTGTGGGCTGCAGCCAGGACAGCTGGGTGAGGCTGGCTCCACACTGCTGGGTGCTCCCTGGGCCATTCTGCTGACTCCAGAGTGTGCTGGGTGCTCCCTGGGCCACTCTGCTGGCTCCACAGGGTGCTGAGCCCTCCCTGGGCCACTCTGCTCCAGCAGAATGCAGAGTGACTCCCTTTCGGGCTGGGGTGCCTGGCAGAAGGGTCACTTCAGCAGCAGACCAGTGTTTCAGCCAGGGCACTCTGCCACAGGGCCACCACAACCCTCTGCCCACAGCTCTGCCACGCTGCTGAGCACCACCCTGGACTAGGAGCTGCTGCTTGTGCTGCCTCCCAGTCAATTCCAGAGGACCTTGGGCTAGTGCTGGCTGGCTTCTCCTGGGAAATGCCTGCTCCAGGTAGCCCCAGCAGTGTCCTTGCTTCCTGAATGGTGGCTTTTCATAACGATTAAAGAGTGTGTGTTGGGGAGGAGAGAAGTCTAATAAAAGCTTTGTTGAAAGGATGGAGCTGTTTGAAGTGCATTTCCCATCTACCTTTGCTTGGCTGCCATATATGGATTTTTGTTCTTGTCCTTTCTTTCCTAATGAGGAGATAACAGGCCAGGGGGAGGTTCAGCAAGAACACCCAGGCTACAGAAATACTTCTCTGATGCTTCTGCCTGGATAACTCAAAGCTCCATTTCCAAGGGGTTGCTTTAGTGGACCCTGTGCAACTTCTGCCAAGGGACAAAAGGAGCATTGGAGTGTGCTCAGGCCTCCCAGACAAAGCAGCATCTTATTCCTCTGGACAGTGCTCAGCAGGGGATTGTCTGCTATCACTCCAGCCCAAGGCCAGCTCCCTCTGACCTGCAGTGCCTTCACAAAAGGTCAAAAGGCCCCATGCATGAGCCAACATACCTTTGGGCCCCACTGGCCAGGTTTAACAGGATTTGTGAGATAACACAAATCTTAAGACACGAGAGAGAGCATCGCTTACCTGCCTGGTAATGATTTGCCTCTGGGCTGGCAGGGCTTGGCAGGAGCAATGACTTTCCCATTGGAACTCAAGTGAGTCACCAGAGCTGAGCAGGCTTTGCAGCTTGTCCTTGCTGTCCTGGATGGGATATTGGCGTCATGAGAGTAAAGCTGTGCAAATGAAGACACCAGAGTGTGGCTGCAGTCACACCGAGCAGCCCCAGTGTGTGGGCCGTGCTGGCACCAGCTCTGTGCCCCCCTGGCTCTGGTGCTTGTGCCTAAGGAGAAAAGTCACAGAGAGAGAGAGAGTGAGGACAGTAAGAGACACAGGGGCTTGATGCTCACAGTCCCTTCCCTTTTTATCAAAAAAGCAAAACTCTCTACACCAGCCAGCCTTCAGGAAGGAGCCAGGTGGGTGAAGATAGCCAGCAGCTCCCTGGCCATATCCATACACATGGGCAGGGCACAGTGGGTGGGAAAAACGTGTTCAGATGTTGTGTGGGGAGCAGGTGAGCAAAGTCTGGGTATGTTCAGGGTTGATTTGCTCTCCTAGGTCGGCAGCTCGTAGCCAAACAGGGCTAACGGCCAGGGGAAGTAACAGCGTTATTAACAGCACGAGCTTCTGGCAGTAAATTAAAAATCTTGGCTGCCGCCCTTGGCTCTGCTCTTGCCTCTTAGAAGACATTAATATCACAGCTCCCCAGCATTCCCATTATCACTTCATTAAGGATCCAATAATGATAAATGTGGATGGTTTTATTTTGCACAGAGCCTGATTAATGGCCAATAATTCACTAGGTGTTAATGGGGCCCTTCCTTTACGGAGGCATTGGAAGGGGCTGCCTTTCATCTCCTCCACAAGCCACAATTTTCACCATTTTCGCTAATGTGACAGATATAACACAAACCTTGAAAGAGTGGCTGAGGCCTCTTGAGAAACCTTGAAGAGCATCGTGCCTGGGGCAGCCCTTGCTGTCGTGGCCATTCCTCAGCATCTTTTTCCTCTTTTTCCTCTTCCTCCTCCCCTGTGCTGCCGGCAGTGCCTGCATATCCCAGGATAGTCGGGGACAAAAGCAGAGCAGCAGATTCCCCAGGGATCAGCCCACCAGTGCAGTCACTGGGGCTCTCCACACAGATGTGGTGCAGAACCAGGCCCACCCTTGCAAGGGGGTGCAATGCAAGGAGTGGGCTTGTGCCAGCCTCACCCCAAAGCAGCCTGGCACCCCTCATCTGCATCGCAAGAGGGCTGGGGAGCCTGGGATGCAGGATGAGCTCAGGCTGAGGCCAGCAGTCCCCCTCCAGCCCCCGGGGACAGCTCTGGCGGCTCCTCTGAGGCCGGCTCCCGTGGCACAGGGGCTGCTCTCTGCCGCAGGAGCCCGGCGTAGTGCACGGCTTCAATCCCTATATGAAGTGGGATGTATAATCACATAGGAATAAAAAGCCATACAAGACAGCAGGCTGGGAGATGCTCTGTGCTGGAGGATGATGGGACAGTCCCTCTGCCTGGGCTGCCACGGCCCTGCTGGGATGGAGCCGGACCCCAGGGAGCCCCAGGATCCCCCCAGCCCCTGCCTGGGGTCTGTGGGGACACACAGGAGCCCTGCATCAAAGAGAGGCGATGTGTCAGCCAGGAGAAGGCTTGGGAGCCCCAGAGCTGCTGCAGAGGGAGCCCCAGGAGGTGCCAGCACTTGCTCCCAGCTGTCCCAGCTAACAAGGGCCTCCCATCCCAACTCCCTGCTAGGAGTTGCGACAAGACTTGCTCTGTGCAGCACCCAGACCTCCTTCCCTCTCACAGTGCCCACCTGGGAGCACTACCCTGCAGGAGCTCCTCCAGCCTGGGAACCCTCTGTTTGTACCACCACTGTCCCCCAGGGCTTTACCAGCCCCACCAAGGCAGTGGGCACCACAACCCTCCAGCCCCACCAAGGCAGTGGGCACCACAGCCCTCCAGCACCATCACAAACACCTGGTGAAGGGAGAAAAAGGAGCCAGCCTCCTCCCTGTGGCAGTCAGAGCATCCTTCTCCATCTTACCAGGGAGAGGAGCCCAGCAGCCGGAGCGAGCAGTTGCAGGGAGCTGTCAACACCCAGCTGTCAGATCCCAAATCCCCTGGCAGCCCATTAGGAGCAGCTCCTGGCTGCCTGCAGGAGCTCTTGACAGGGGACCAGGCACTAACATGGATCCTCCTCTAAGGAGGTGGATGTGGGTGGAGGGAAAGCAGGGAGCTGTTCCTCAGTGAACACTCAGAGAGCAGCACTGGCACAGCCAGGGCAGGGAGCCCACCCAAGCAGTGCTGGGGATGTAGCCAAGGGTGGCCAGCAGAAAGGGCTGTTTGTGCCACCTCCTCTCCCCCTGCCTTTCTGCTCACAACCCAGCAGCAATTCTGGCATCCACGGGATGGGAGAGCTGGAGCAGTGCCTAGGGCAGGAGAGAATGGGTGCTGGGTGCAGGCTCATGCAGTGCAGCCCAGAC